TCTTCTCCTCCCAGGTCCTCACAGCTCCCTGATCCTGACATCAGGGGCCCCAATCTGGCTGAGCCCCAGGATGCATGTGGGCCTGTCACAAACACTCAGGTCTCTCCCAGACCCAACAGCTCAGAGTGATGAGCAGGGAACTGGGAATCACTTCCTCAACACGCCCTGCAGGGGAGGCTAATGCACAGCCAGGAATCTGGTCTCCTCCTTCTGCTGAAAGTGTGGTCAGCACCAATGTTGTTATACACAGACTCTCAGGCTCTGTTCTAGACCTTCTGAGTCTTCGTGAGTGTCCTGGTGATTCCTGTGCTCATGGAATTGGGAGCTCCCTGGTCTCCCTGCCTTCTCCACATGGTGTCAGAATATGCAGTTGGCTCTGGGGGGTGGTCTTAACACAGGGGGTTCAGGGGTTCAGTCCTGCTCCTTTCTTTCCCTTAGTCATCACTCCCTGGGAGGTGCGTCATACTCAAGACTTCAAATATCATTTACGTCACCTCCCAGATCTATTTCTCAGTGCACATATTTCACCGGTGCTCCTGGCTTGTCTGTCTGCTGCAGACAGACGATAAGTTCTCAGCTATGATGGAAGACTCAGAGTCTAAATTGAATTTGCAGCAGGGGGAGGCTGGGGAGAGCCATCGACAGCAACTCTGCCTCTCATTCTCCCAGCCAAAGCTTTTATTAAAGATATGAACAAAGGGGCAAGAAAATAGCATGCAGGGCCTTCCTGGTGGGACAAGGGTTAAATCTCAGAACTATGAAGCTACTCGCAGCCAGTGAGGCCTCAGTTGATCCCTGGCCAGGGAGCTACCCACATTGTGTGGCAGACCTCTCCTGTCTCACCAGCTGCTCCCCTCAGAAGTGTGTTTCAGTCAGTCTGCCTGTTCTGCTCCCCGTTCTCTTTCTGTTTAATCTTCTCATCCTCTGCACCTCTGGCCTACTCCCCAGCTCTTGTATGCATAAATCTTTTTTAAACAGAAAAGTAGCATGCAGTTGTATTTTTGCTTATACAAATTAATAAGTTCCTGCTGGGACAAGCTTTGCTGATTAGCAAGGAACATGCACACAAGCCAGCACTTCCTCAGGGAAGAGGAGTCAGTTCTGGAAAGACCTTCTGTTTGCAGAACTTCTACACCCTGGAACTCCATGTGCAGAATGAACAGGTCCTCCCAGAGAGCTTCGGCTCCCGTCAGGCAGCAGGCTGCCAACATCTGTCCAACTGCCACCATCGCTGCATTTCCAATAAACCTCAGCTTCAACTCTCCTAATGAACACCTCGGATGCCATTTCCACAAATGTGCTACTTCTGAAGCCTGCCCGTGTCACTGCGGGCTCCACATCTTTACTTCAGTCTGAGATGTTGGGTGGCATCTTGACCCCTTTCTCACAACCCAGATGTTACATTAGGAAATGCTGTAAAGTCCATCTCTAAATATATCCAGATCCAAACACTTCCCATTATTTCCTGATCACACCCCATAAAGCTACCAAATTTTCCATCCTAGAATCTGTGCTAGTTTCCTACATTTATCTTCCCACCTCTCACCCTTCACCTCTTGATTCTGCACAGCAGCCAGACTGGGGCTTCTAAAGAGAAGTTGCAGCATGTCAATCTCTGTCCAGAAAGGTCTGTTAATCCCAAATTTTACTCAGAGAAAACATTATGAATTCCAAACCAATCTTCAGTGACAAGCCTAAATATTTGGCAATTATTTCCTTTTATAGAAAAGTATAGGTTTTTCACTTTGAAACATAGCAAAAGTGCAGTGTATCAGTTTAGTTAAAAATCCAGCAGCCAGGGGCCTCCCTGGTGGCACAAGGGGCTAAGTACAGCACTATGAAGCTATCCACAGCCTCTACAGCATGAGTTTGATCCCTGGCCGGCCAGGGAGCTACACACATGGGGCAGCAGACCTCTCCTGTCTCGCCCACTATTCCCCTCAGTGGTGTATTTCAGTCAGTTTACTTGTTCAGTTCCCCATTCTGTCTCTAGTCAATCATCTCACCCCCCACACATCTGACCTGTACCCAGTTATTTTATACATAATAATACATCTAAAAAAAAAATCCAGCAGCCAAATATACTACTTGGACATCAAGTTTCCCTTTCTAAATACATTTAGATTCACATAATTTTATGCTTATTACATAATGGTTTTAAATAAAAACCATCAAAATCTTTACTTAAATAATCCCACATCTGGATTGAATCATGGTAGTATGGATATTTTTTAGAAATTCCAGCTTATTTACTGATTAGTAACATGTAACATTTGACAATGTCCCCAGAGAAAAAGCTTCCTGTGTTTAGGGAGATGAAAGTGTTATCACACTGCATAGTCACTACTAGATTCTATCAGACCTGCTGCCATGCTGAGGCTTCCCCGTGAACAAAGTATAAGTGGTCATTGCTGACCGCCATGGAAAGATGGAGCTCACTCCTGACACCAGGCACCACCTGAATCCTGTATTTGTGTTTCCTTGTTATGGCGCTGAGCCTTGGTGTTAATAAACGCAATGAGTTTTTCTTAATGAATGTGGTGGGTTAAAGCAAAAGGATATAACCTGGTCTTCTCCATAATTTACTTTCTCTCCACCTTTTTAAAGATTATTGCTGAGAAAATATAAGTTACAGGTTCACTGGCTGGAAAGACACAGTCACCTCTTAGGTCTCCCCTGGTGTTCACTCAGGTTGATTTCTCTTGGTCTCTCAGCATGACCATCCCTCAGCAGGGCCCTCAATGCGGAGTTTCCAATGCTACCATTGCTGTGTGTCCTGGCTGGATGTTGATTATTTTCCCTCATTAAAAACATTTAATAATTTGGCAATAATCTGCTCAGCCTTTGTAACTTCTCCATCAAGTAACTTTTCATTTTTACCATTCCTGCTGGCTGCTCTGCTTTTCTTCTGTCACCTTCTTCACATAACTGTGGTCCTTTCCCTTCCAAGGAGGAAGAATATTTTAATGAGCCTCCAATTCTATCCCACAATGTAAAATATTGTCCACAGTTGTAGTCAAAGAAGAGGAGAAAGTGTGTATGGTGAGCTGAGCCATTAATAAGTGGTCTTAAGATTTGAAGATACAAACATCACCATCATGAATGGAAACTATCTAGATATTGACAAAGATGTACAACCTAAAAAAGCCAGCTTGTGGACCATGCACTTATAATGAGCTAATCCAGCCATTTGGAAACTCTCGTACATTGACATATAGTTTGCTGTATCCTATCAGCTCCAGCAGGAACAGTGAGATGGTGGGAATACTTAATCCATGGTAATGACATAACAGTAAACAATTTCTTGCAAGACTTGATTTTTTAAAAATTGTGGGTTTTGGGCCTCTCTGGTGGCCTAGGGTTAAGTCTCAGCACTACCACTGAGAAGGCCCACTGCAACAGCCTGAGTTGGATCTCCGGCCAGCAACAGCCTGAGTTGGATCCACATGGTGCAGCAGACCTCTCCTATCTTTCTACCACTCCCCTTAGCAGTGTATTTCAGTATATCCGCCTGTTCTGCTCCCCACTCTGTTTCCGGTGAATCCTCTCACCACCAGCCCTTGACATCTCTGGCCTTCACCCAGTTCTACTACACAAAAATTTTTTTTAAATCTCTAAAAAAAGTGGATGTTTCATTAGGGAACTAGGGAACTATAGACAAATAATAACTCAGTGTTGCAATGAGGAAATAAAGGATAAAAGCTCCAAGATTTCTTACTATCAGGAGAATGTCAGAAGATGTCACCTTCTGACCTGTGGTGGATATATAAGTGGTGTTAAAAAGTCATAATCTGCAGCATCAAGTACAAGACCCATCTCAGACCCAGCAAACAGCAGAGGCTGGGGATCCAGTAGTGGTGCAGGTGCAACAAGACACAATGGGGGACTCAGTCAGCGGGAGTCAGGCTTTGTTGACAAATGAGCCTGATGCCAAACTAGAGAGGGTCAGTCCACCATCCAGCACTGCGGGCCAGGAAGCCTGGGCTGGTCTGCAGCCCTGGTCAGCAATAGGTGTGGCCTGGCGGGGCTCAAGGGTTAGTTTTGAACTTTGGCTTAATCTGGCCCTTCGTTTGCTTTCTCTACATCCATATATAAGTATTTCTCTTTTTCCTTTTGACTTTTCCCTCTTCCATCCATGTTGCCGCAGTGGCATGAGTTATGTTTTCTGACCGGGGATGCTATTTCATTATACAGGGACACACATCACCCATACATGTACATAGATGTATACATGTAATCCCAGCTTCTACTTGATTTGTCACCTGTTTGGGGCATTTAGGGTATTTACGTAGCTTGGCTACTGTAAATATTGCTGAGTGGTGACGGGAGTGCAGGTCCTTTCATAGTAGAGTATTTATCCTCTGTGAGTAGAATTGCTGGGTCCAATGGCAGAACCACATTTACTCTTTTAGGAAACCTCAATTCTGTTTCCATAGGGCTGGCTCAGTCTATATCCAAAAACAACGCAGGACTGTCCCCTTTCTTCCATATCCTTGCCAGCACTTGTTTCTGGTCTTTTGGATATTGGCCATTCTCGTAGGTCTGGAGTAGTTTAAACCAGGGGATCATAAAGCCACAAAATGTGGGCAAAATACATCTTGTAACACCCAGGCCAAGAAGGCTGTTTCTCACCATGAAAGAAAATAATCATGAAGAAATTCAGGTGAATGACCTGAGTGTTAACAATATCAATGGTCCACTGCACTCTCAAGATGCCCTTCTGAAAGCGTCCCCATAATCTAGTCGAAGCCTCTCTGCCTGAACCCTTCAGCCCCTGCTACAGTCCTCAAGTGTCTCACCTTTAGGGGCTGAGATACACTTCAGAGCCCTGAGCACTGCTGCTGCCCAGGAGAGAACACAACTAAACGTGGTCAGAGATGAGACCACAGGAGGAAATGATGAGGATGACACCCCCATGGGCTCCCTCTACACTGTCTCCAGGGGCTCAGGGATCAAATTCTTGATCCACACTTACCTGGAGCCTGAGTGTAGCTTCTTCCTTACTCACCTGTGGGAAGAAAAATCATGTGAGACCATGGAGGAGTCAAGTCAGAACTCCTAATCTTCTAATCCTGCAGGACAGGGAAGTTTCCAGAACTGTGACTAAAGACCCAGGTCAGGGCTGGGAAAAACGAAGAAAGGAGGTAAGGGAGGACTGGACCAAATGCCCCCTGGGCAATACCAGTGTGGATGGTACTTCCCATTAACCAGGTAGGGCAAGTTGCCCCTGACTTGAAAGTCCCTAGTGGACAAGACCCCCCACTCCCTTCCCTACCTGAGCGCTTCTTCCTCCACATCACAAATGCAGCCACTGCAGCTCTGGTGAGCACAGCTTGAAGGAGAACCAGACCAGCAATGATGCCCCCGGTGGGGATGGAGGACTGAGGAGGGGCCACTAGAAGGAAAGGGAAGGTTAGACCCTGAGCCCCAGGCCTCCATCTTGACCCTCTGAAGGTCTCTAGATGGGCTCCTGATACCTGTGAGCAGAAGCTCAATGCCCACGTTCCCCTTCTCACCCCATCTCAGGACTCGGGGCTCCTTCAGCCCCTCATGCTGCACACTGCATGTGTATCTCTGCTCCTCTCCAGAAAGCACCTCCACAGATGCCCACTTCTGGAAGGTTCCGTCCCCCCCAGGCCTGGTGGAGTATCAATAAGTCCCTTTTAAGTGTGCGGCTGAGGACTCACAGTCAGGCAACCCATTTTATATTGGGGTTGCCCTGTAACACAATGGCACATGAAGAGCAACAGCATAAATTACAATTACAGAAACTTTTAAAAACAGGAGGATACAAAGTAAAAAAGTGCCAGCTCCATAAATTACTTCTAATGGTTAGGTCCCCTAAAGAAGGGAGTTTAGATCTGGAAGCCTGGGAGAAGGCAGGGCAGCAGCTGAGGCAATCAGCAGGACCTGTGACAGTGTCTCCCCTTCGGAATCTCTGCCGATCAGCACTGAGACCTGTTCAAGGGGATAAAAAGAGCTTACATCCAGGGGCCTTCCCGGTGGCACAAGGGGTTAAGAGGCAACCTATGAAGCTATCCGCACTCTCTGCAGCACGAGTTCAATGCCTGACCTCGGAGCTACCCATATGGCGCAGCAGACCTCTCCTGACTCGCCTATTGCTCCCCTCAGCAGTGTACCTTGGTCAATCTGCCTTTCTGTTCCCCATTTTGTCTCTGGTGAATCCTCCACCCTCCCACCCCCACACCTCTGCCTGAAACCCAGCTTGTGTATGCATAAATAAATAAATCTTAAAAGAGAGACAGATTACATCCAGATGGTCCAGGGCTTTCTGCCCCAACTCTACTTGGTCCTCCACCATCTCCAGCAAATGTTGAGCCCCTCATAGGAAATATGTTTTCATGAAGGATGACAATCAAAGGGAGAAATATTCTTTGAGGAGGCCAGTGTCCCTAACATGAAACTTTACCATTTGCTGTTTTTAAAGCATTCAGAAAAACTATTTCTGACATTAATATTCAAAGTTCATTTACAAAAGAAATTTTTGAAGCATAGAAAACGGGTACGAAATGACTGCATGGGATAGGAAAGTCCTTATCAAAACAGTACTAATCACTGCCTCCCCTCCACACCCCCCAGTTGCGCAAGGGGTTAAGTCTCAGCACTATGAAGCTATCAGCAGCCACTGCAGCACGAATTCAATCCCTGTTCAATCCTGGTCACACTGGCTGAGGCAAAAGATTAAAATGCTAGAAAATAAAGTGGGGAACACCACCCTGGCTAACACGTATGGGGCGCCCCATTGTTCTCAGCTAGTAGCTGCCTGGACCTTTGCTCTGTGCGAGATCACTGGTATGTCCCCCACCACCCAGCCATGGGGGAACGGGTTTCTCCTTTTCATCCTAATATCTCTTCTGGCCAGTTCCATAGGTAGACATTTCTATTTCTGCCATGCCTTCCACTTTTAGGTCTGTTTGGTCAGTTTAAAAAACTTAACTATGAAATTACTTTGGTCCTCCTAACAGGCTATGTAGGGTGCTTTATTTCTTAAGAGATAACATAAGCAATCTTAATCTGTTTGCCTCTCCTGTTCTCAAGGTCTATAAATAAGGTGCTCTCTTGTCTTAAGGAAACTGGTTCCCTGCCTGGTTTGGACAAAAATAGAAACTTAAAAAGCAATTCTAGGTTGTTTTTTTTTTTCTGTTTATCTTTAAAATTGTTGTCTTCTTCTCTCTTTAGCTCCTCCCTCCCTTGGGTGGGGTAGGGAACCTGGAACTTCCCCTTTTCCTGGGGACCACCAGGTTACAATACTTTGCCTAAATGTCATTTAGTAAACAAAGCTCATGGTATTCAAAAAAAAAAAGATAATAAATCTGGTTTGCTTTTCAATGTCTATACCTAGACATTTCTTAACCAAGTTATCTTCCAGGAACACAAATCAGCTTATCCCTTTAAAAGGAACTTTTGTTTTTCCTCAAAAAAAAAAAAAAAAAAGGCTTAACTTTCTTCCCCCTGGTCCTAACCAAAATACAGATGACATCTAAAGCCAAGTGGTCCTGGGTTTCAGCACCAAAAATAAATAAATAAATAAATAAATAAATAAAGCCAAGTGGACAAACTACTCAGTCATACTGAGTCATGTTAAATCTCTGATTTTTCTTGCTTTTACCCTGGAAAAACCTTGGTGTATATAATTGTTCCAGTAACAGCCCTGCAATTTGGAATATCAGTCCTAAAAAATAACTAAAACTACAACTAGTGACTCAATCTTAAATCTGTCCTTTTCTTCATTATCTGCCAAAAAACTAATGATAACTTTAAATATCTAAACTAACTTTATTTTCCTTATTGTAAGTAAACAACTTTCAGGTCTACTTTTTGCTCCTTACTGTAAGTGATGGAGTGATGGAAGAATCGGAAAAAAAAAAACTGAAAAGGAGGCACCACAAGACCAGAAACCTGGCTCACACAAGGAGGTGGGGGTAGAAGAGATTAGCACAGATTTACACAGCTATGGAAACCAAGATCCTTAGGAGCCAATGCCTAGATTACAAAGCATAAGACCCAAGCAGGGATCAGAATGCTGTAGGGGGTATCTACAGCACAGGCCCAAGGGTAAATATATGGAGATTGAGCCCTTGTGGAATCTCCTGTCCCTTTCAGATTTTGCATAGTTATCCAAACTCGGCAACTAACCTTAAGGCTCACAAGGAGTGAGCCCCTCCCAAACAGAAGACTATGTCAGTGCAGTCTCTGCACAGATCAGGGGCAGCACTTCCTCTGCCCACCTGTGCCTGTGCAGGTGCCTCTGCACCAACTCTCTCCCTCTGCAGGGCAGCAGCTTCCTGCCTGTCTGGAACTGCACCAAGCTGGACTTCTCTTCACAGACCTCCCTCAGCAGAGGCAGCTCTCCTCAAGGCGGCCCAACTGTGACTATGCAGGCCTCTCTTAGCAAACCTGTCCCTTTCCGGGCAGCTCTTCCTGCCTGCTTGTGTCTAGGCAAGTTTACTTTATTCCTCCATTCCTTTTCCTAATAAACCTGCTCTTTAAATATAACTAACGGTTTTAATTATTATGGATTTGTAGTATAGCTTGAAGTTTGGAAGTGTGATACCTCCTTTCTCCTTTGTTTTTATCAGTAGGACTTTGGCTATTAATGTTTTTTTGTGGTTCCATATGAATTTCATCAGTATTTGTTCTATTTCTTTGAAGAATGTCATTGAGATTTTTCTTGGAATAGTGTTGAATCTGTATATTGCCTTCGGTAGGATGGCCATTTTAATAATGTTAATTCTTCCAATCCATGAGCAGGGGATGTCTTTCCATTTCTTTGCGTCTTCTTCAATTTCTTTTAACAGTGTTTTATAATTTTCTTTGTATAGGTCCTTCACCTCTTTTGTTAGGTTTATTCCCAAGTATTTGATTTTTGTTGTTTTAATCATAAAAGGGATGGTTTTCTTGATTTCTTTTCCAGATTGATTGTGTATAGGAAGGCTACTGATTTTTGTGTGTTGATTTTGTATCTTGCTACTTTACTAAACTGGTTGATTTTTTTTTTTAAATTAAGGAAGGACTCTCTAGTCCCATGTATGTATTAACTCTGAAGTCTAATGTTCTTGTAACAGTTTGCTCCCACTCTTATTGGCTATTGTTTGTTTTTGATAGAAGTTTTCTTGCAATATGGGTTTTTTTTTTTAGATTTATTTTATTTATTTATTTAATTTATTTATTTATACAAGCACTGGGTACAGTCAGAAGCGCGGGAGGGTGAGAGAATTCACCAGAGCCAGAGCGGGAAACAGAACAGGCAGAAGGACCGAAGTACACTGTTGAGGGGAGCAGCGGGCGGCAGGAGAGGTCTGCACGCCATGTGGGACCCTCACCCGGCGGCCGGGAATTGAACTGGCGCTGCAGAGGCTGCGGGCAGCTTTGCAACCCAGCGCTCAACCGATGCGCCACCAGGGAGGCCCCTAAACTGGTTGATTATTTCGAGTAGTTTTTCTGTGGAGTTTTTAGGGTTCTCTATGTATTGAAACAAAAATAGACACACAGACCAATGGAACCAAATAGAGAGCCCAGGAATAAAGCCACCCTTATATGGACAACTGATCTTTGACAAAGGAGCAAAGAATATGCAATGGAACACGGATGGTTTGTTCAATAAATGGTGCTGGGAAAACTGTACCAGCATATGCAAAAAAATGAAATTAGACCACTACCTCTCACCGTGCACAAAAGTCACCTCAACATGGTTAAAAGAACTGGATATAAGACCTGAAGCCATAAAATATATAGAAGAAAATACAGGTAAAACTCTACAAGACATACATCTCAAAAACATATTGAAATACTCATCAGCAAAGCAAAGAAAGTCAAGGAAAAGATAAACACCCAGGATTACATCAAACTGAAAAGCTTCTGGACAGCAAAAGAGACATTAACCAAAACAAAGAGACACCCCACTGATGGGGAAAAAAATCTTTGCACTCCATACAACTGATAAGGGACTGATCACAAAGATATACAAAGAACTCACAGCACTCAACAAAAACAAAGTAAACGATCCAGTCAAGAAATGGACAGAAGAACTTAAAAGACATTTCTCCAAAGAGGAAATGCAAATGGCCAACAGGCATATGAAAAAAATGTTCAAAATCTCTTATCAGCGAAATGCAAATCAAAACCACACTGAGATACCACCTTACAACAGTAAGAATGGCACATATTTAAAAAACTAGCAACAACAAATGTTGGCGAGGATGTGGTAAAAAAGGAACTCTCCTACATTGCTGGTGGGAGTGCAAACTGGTCCAACCACTATGGAAAGCTGTCTGGAGTTCATCAGTTTACTAAAAATGGAGCTACCATACTACCTGGCCATTAAACTACTAGGGATTTACCCAAAGGACACAAGAACATTGATTCAAAAGAAGA